CCAGCTGCCCACATTCAGTTATCTTGTTACATGAGCTATATATATATATATATATAGGTACAGTATCCACCAAAAAAGGCAGTACGGTACCGTACCCCTAAATCACATCTTCATAATTATCCGTCTGAACATGGTAATTTCAGGAATGCCGGTATACATCGGTATACCATGGTATAATTACTCTCTTTCCAAACAAATGCCAACAAATCCCAAGCAAAGACAGGTTGCTGGCACGCGCTGATGCTAGAACCATAGGAGATCACATCAGCCTTTACGCGCGTCACTGTCAACTCTTTCATGAGAGATAGAGCCATTTGCCAATGCGAAGCCTTTTCACATGCGCTGATGCTTGCCTGGTTGATGGTGATAAACCCACCTGAAAATCTGGGTCAGTTGCCATCTTCGTCCAAAATGATTGATGTGATAGCTATAGACCGAACAAAGCTAAACATATGGTTTTCAACTATTCGAGCTGGGGACACCCTGGTCAAACGATAAAACACATGCCTGCCTGCCTACCGCATCATACCGCATCAAACCGCATCAATCGAAGGGGACCTGAACAAGTGTCAAAACAACTGCCCAGTGGCATTGAAGGTGATGACATTCACTGCCCATGAAGGCTGCCTTTGCTGCGCTCGACGCAGCAAAGCAAACGCTTCCTGCCAGTCTGCTGCTTTTTCGCAAGCACTGATAGCGGCATTGCACATGATGATATCGGGCTGCACAAATGTTGCTTCTGCTTGTTGCAACAAAGCGAGTGCAACCTGAGCCTCGCTTGCTTTTTCACAAGCACTGATGGCTGCGCTGTAGGAGAGCACATTCGGCCGGAGGGATTTGGAGATGGTCTGTGCCAGCATCTGTGCCGCTTGCTCCCATTCACCAGCTCGTGCACATGCACTCATTGCGGAGCTGTACGTGATGACGTTCGCTTGCAATTCGTAGCTCTCAACTTGGCCCAGTAGCTGCAAGGACTGCTGCCATCGAGTAGCTTTCTCGAAAGTGCTGATGCCGGCATTGAGGGAGATCAGTGTAGGTTCAAGCTTCTGCATGCCAATTTCCTGCAACAGAAATATCGCATGCTCCCATGCACCAGCCCTGGCACATGCACTGATGGTGGTGTTGAATGAAATGACATCTGGTGTCACGCCGTGTATCTTGGCCAACTGCAGCAGTTGCAACGCATGTTGCCACTGCGCTGCCTTTTCGCATGCACTGATGGTGGTGTTGTAGCTGATGACATTGGGGCAAACTTCCCACGACGTCATGCTGTTGAACAAAGCCAGTGCTTGCTCCCAGTGCCCTTCACCGCTGCAAGCGCTGATGAGCGAAGTGCACGCAATAACATTGGGTTGTGTATGGCCCTCCAGCAGCCACTGCAGCACTTCCACAGCTTCTTGCCATCTGCCCGCTTTTTCGCAGGTGTTGATTGCAGCACTGTATGCCACCACATCTGCTTCTAACAGCTCTACCTGAAGATGTTGAAGCAAGTGGAGGCCTCTCTGCCACCTGGTTGTTGGGCTGCGGTCACTTTGGATAATGCTGACCATTTTGATGGAAATGGAAATGGACTGAACATGGTGAAACCCAAGCCTCCGGTAGCAAAACCTAGGAATGGAAAACACATGAAAACACCTTATTTTCAGCACAGCAAGTAGGAACATCATCTTTATCCAGTAAGATCTAACAAGTAGATCTTTTTTCAATCATTATTGGGTTGCCATGGGTTGCCATGGGTTGCCACGGCAAATTTCCGCAGAAACGACCAGCCACTCAGCTGACTGGCTGCAAGCGCTGATGGCAACGCTGTAAGACACCAGGCGAGGACTTGCACGACTCGGACGCATCGACCATCGAGAGCCCTTGAGCACGAGCCTTGCGGGCTTACCAATGGTTTCATGTTTCGCAGAGAAATAAGCTTTAAACTTTAAAGTAGATAGGAAAGCTAGTAATAGCTAGTACATAACTAAATGTTAATGTAATCACACACGTGAATGGAAAATTCACTGCATGAAAACTGCTTGACAACTCTTCCGCCGATTCATGGAGCTTGTGAGGCCATTTCAGCAACCAACAGCTTTAAAAGTAACAGGTTCAGATATACAAAACTGTTTGGAAAATGACGGGTGCAAGGTGAATAGGTGATTGCTCAGCGGGTGCTAACTTACAACTAAATTTGATCCCCTGCAAGAACTGGATGAAAATCACAAGACTTTCGCTGACTTCAGGCTGCGGTAATGTGCCATCCGAACATCGTGGCCCATGGGAATCTGCAGAGTCCCTTTCAACAAACATGGATGCAGCGATGCGAAAAAATCAGTCGTGAGAGTCACCAACTGCATCTTTTCCAGGCGCTTCGGAAGTACCTTCAGCAATCCTGGCGGCCAAGTTGAGGTCGGCAAACGGAGTGATGCCATGCAACTCTTGGATTGTGAACTGAGAAACTCGTCCACGTCAACAAATGCACTTGGTTTCCCCATGTAATGCTTATAACGTCAAATTCACAAGCTGGGTTCCTGGGCGCTATTTCTGGGTTCCTGGGCACTAATTCTATGTTCTTTCATGGTTCTGGAACTCAAGTGCTGTGGAAATAGAATTTGACTTTTGCAATGTCCAAGTTTGGGTTCCTTTGACCATAAGGGGTTCGGCTATCAGATTCTTAACCCAGAACCGCCCAGGATTGCCCAGGACTTCCCAGGACTACCCAGACACTGCCCAGGTACTACCCAGGAATCCTGGAACAGTTATGCTAAGCATTGCAGAATTATAATGCTTATCGTAAGTGTCACCGAAACGGTTTGGCGTCTATAATGCTTGGCGCAACTGTCAGGTCGATTCCTGGGTAGTACCTGGGTACTAACTTCTGTCAGGATACTTCAACACTACCCACGAATCATCTCCAAGTTGTGACATGCATTAGACCGCGCTAGTGAGCTATCCCAAGCACCAGATGTCCTAGTTTTTGAGCGGTCAAGCCCCCACTTTCTTGATTTCCAGCCCCTGACCGTGCCAGCCTCGGTGCCGCGCACCGTGCCCCGGTTTTTTCCCACGTTATAAGCATTACGTGGGATAATCAAAAATGCACTATAAAGATCCGTAAAGTGTGGATCATGAATATTCCGTCTCAACTGCCTTGCAATCATAGTTATATGTACCTTCGGCAACTGCCCCAGCCAGGAAGCTAAACTCTGGCACTGGTCACCTATGATCCTTGGATCCGGCTCATGAACGGGTTGAGATCCTCGTGGCCCAAGCGTTCCCAATCTCCCAATATCTCGCTCTCCCGCAATTTCGAAGGGTTTATTGAAGAAACCCGGAATGGCAACAATCAGGAGTGGTGGTTATCATGTGGTCTTAGCAAGTCATATTCTTCTGTATGGTCCTGTGCGGTTCTGTTATTCATGTCCACACTAGTCCACACCTCTTGGTGATGGCGGCAACCACCGAGGCAAAGGCTTCTGCCTCAGACTTTGCCCAAACCCGGTGAGAGAAATCTCCTGGACCTTGGGATGGGCCCATGTTAAGCCCAAAAGTAGGACACAACACAATTCGAATCATATCTTTAGACATCATTTGCTTCTAGTTAATTATGTCATGTCATGTCAGGTCTACTAAATTAATATATAAAAATATACACGCTAAAGATTGCAACTTTCATCAACGTTGGATGCAAACCATGGCCATTCCCAAACGCAAAAACACGTTTCTTGACAGTTTTAATGAATGTTTTTCTAGTGTTTGACTGCCAAAATGGAGCCAATCATGGAACGGGCCATGCATGTCAATGTTTGATTTGTTTTTACTCATCTGAATCTGAATTACATCGAATTGAAATAATTGACATAGTTTGGCATGTCAAAGTGTAGAATTTTACACCATGCGACCTTTTGGAGGCTCCAAAACAGCACACGCACCCTAAGCTTCTGGGAAATTCCCGTCGCATTCTTCCAAGCGGCACTGCTGTGCCCTCGCTCTTCCCCGCAACGAAGCAACATGAGAGCCTGGAAGCTTCAGCTACAGGTTCTAGGCCAGGGCACACTGATCTTTAGATGAAAGTGGTCCTCCAACCACCAACTAATGGCAGGGTCTATGTTAGTTGCATTTCTGCAATAACTTTAAGTTTGTGGTTGAATCAGCATCTAGGCACAAACTTGATGGTGATGTCTTACCGCTGTACTGGTGCCCCAGAATCACGAATTCTCAGCAAAGAAAATATCCTAGCTGACTTAATCGGTCTCCATCTGGCTTGACAATCAACAATATCCAAAACAGATCCTAGTTTAGTCCCTGCATCCAGGAAACTTCTTTCCAGCGCCCGGCTCCCTCGCAAACACTGCGCAAAGCACCTGCGCTTGTTGGTGGGAACAGCATGGCACAGCATATGCCTCGCCATCCCCAATAGGGTCAAATGAGTCAAATGGGTCAACATGGTCCGGATTGGTCTGCCTTATGTGACATCATGACGTCATGACGAGGGTATAAGCAACCAGGTGGGTGCCGCATCACTTACCCAATGGGTATACTACCCAAATCTGAGCAACCAAATGAGCCGCACATGAAAATCCGTCCATGATCGGTAATTACAATAAAATTAAGACTGGTCTTTATCATCTTTATGAAGGGTTCAAGCATCCGTCAAAAGGAATTGGCCGGCAAAAGTACCCAAAAGACCTAAAGAGAAATCTACAGCCCTGAAATTCAACACGCACTTGGGTTTGGAAGACTTTTGACGACTTTTGTTGGGTTTCATCTTGGATGTTCTTTTACTTTGGTAATTTGCTGAGTCTCAAGCCATATGTCACAGACCAACGCGTTCCCAGGACCCAAGCACCATATGTAACCGATGATGGCTGCAAGTGCATTTCATCGGCTTGCCTCAGTGGTCACAAGATGTCAGGATGCAGGCAGCCCTGCAGTGATATGATGCAAACAGGCCAAACAAAGTTGCAACCGGAAGGACGACTGATCAACTGTTGGGGTGGAGGTGCTGCACCGTTGTGCCAAGTCTGCTAAGTGATTGCAGGGTCAAATGACATCAAATAGGCTGATGGCCGTGGCATGTTTTTGTCATTCTTTGTTTCTGCTCCCTGGTTGGGGCTTCAATTGGTTTCATTACTGGGCACATATACTTTGTACAACCATGGTAAAAAACACCCATCATAAGTTGGGATATTAGCACCATAATCATGGCTTTGCAAGTCAATTACGAAGTGGAACTCCACCCCCAAGTATGGCTCGTCATGTTGCTTCATCGCACAAAGATTAGAATCATCTTCCACCCATCTATTCGCCCAAAGCCATACCCCACCGATTCTCGGGACATGGCTGATCTCAGCAAGCAAATGAACCATATAAGTGTATGTGACTGTATGTGTGTAATTGTGTATATATATATTACATATGATTACATATGTAGAAAATACAGCACCTCCACATTTGCAGCAAACAGGTGACCCAGTCTCACCTATCCTTGACCAGCTGGGTTACCCAATGATTGTACTTTGGCCGCATCCCGTTTTTGTTGGTAAATGCACCTCCTCTACATGCACCCTGTGTCGTTGAGGGTCCCATTTGCAAGAGACCCACCCCTAGAGCTTACAAAATGGTGCGCCTTCAATTTTACGGCATGGTTGGTGGTGGAGGATTTTGTTTTGGCTATGGGTCTTCTGGCTATTTCTGGTTCACAAGACATCGGCCTTGATTCAACCAAGGCGGACCTAGTCGCCGCAAGGTGAACAAGGCCTTCCACCAGCTGCACTCCAGGCTGGAGATCATGGAGCCAAACGTCACGATGCTCCTGACACGTTGTGGAAAAAAGACGCCTCAATCATTGAGGTGTCAGGGATACTTTCCTCAATTTTTGGGACCGAAAAATAGGCATGATAGTGTAAGCAAGGTTGTCAGTCATTCACAAATTCGGATTGTACCCGGGTAACTTCAAAACACCAAACTGAAAAAGGATGGGACGGTTCGGAAGATCAGGGAAGGGGCAGCTGCCAGCACTCCTCAAAAATGCTGATTCCTCCCAGTGGCGGCAGAAGGATTCCCAAACGCCTTCAGACTTTTTCTCCATCTGCTTATATCTTCTCTGTTCAGCTATATAGTGGGACCACAGGAAAAGAACAAGCTTGTCTTCCATCAATTTCTATCATATCCAAAACACAGCACCAGCCATCACAGCCGATGTTCCTCTTCTGCTCAAGCCCTCTTGCTGAAAAAAGGTGCGTGGCACAAACCCAATGCTGCCTGCAAGCGCTAATGGCAGCATTGCCTGTCCATCCGTGGCAGTTTGGAGGGCTGGGCTCACTGAGTAACGGGGTAACGGGATTATGTTTTTTCGATGCCACCCAGCCTGTGATGTTATTGCTTTCCACCATGGCTTCAGCCACAGCCCTCAGAATCTCCAGGGACATTCGCCATTCATCGGCCTTCTGACAGGAGCTGATGGTCGCATTGTAGGAGATCACATCCTCAAGTATCTCAACAAGGAACCGTGGGATTCAAGGGAAAATCACAAAACACTACATATTTTTTTCCACCCTCAAAAAACTATAGGGGTTCCTGCAGGTTTCCCTTCAACCAAGTTTGGAAAGAATTGAAGTCCACATAGTTCAACCCCCAAGATCTGGGGTTCTAAACATCATGCCCCAAATCCAAAGACTAATCCCACTCCCGAAAAGTCTCCAAAATCATCTCATGAACACAAAGAGAGATTGAGGGTGGGCCCGCACCCAAATCCACTGCTTAGCCCTTTGAAGATTGGTGATTCAGTACTTTTGTGAATCAGAGTTTGTGATAAACACGCGCTAGAGATGAGAGCTGCTTCCCTACCTACTGCCTCAACTTGGTCCTTTCTGGCGGGTGGTTCCAGCCTCCAAGGATAAACAGAAGTTGGAACTCTACAGATGACAAACATCAACAGTTGGTTGGGAAAAGTTAAAAACACATGTTTCATATTGTTTCGTCTTTGTTTTAACATACCAGCAGGCTACACCCAAGGGGGTGGCGAAACATGGCGCCGTATGCTGGGAGTCTGGGAGTTGTTTGGATGACAGGCTGCCGCTCTGACACGCCCAACTGTAAGAAGACCAGCCAACAATAGCAGTGCCAGCTGCCACTGCGAAGCTTTCTCACAAGCGCTCATGGTGGCCTACTGCCCAGGATGCTGGCTTTCAAAAACCAGGAAATTTTATCCAAATGGTAACCTTTCGGCCAAACCCTCCATTTGATGCTGCCATTCATGGAAAACTTAGGTAATCTAGTCATCAGGGGACCTGTGCGTCATTGTGCAAGTCTTCGTGAACCTAAAACCCAAAAAACTCAAACCCTAAACACAAGTCCTAAACCCTCGAAAACCAGGAAAATCAAGAGAAACCCTATGTAGAGCCAAAGCACGCAAACGTAGACCCTTGAACCCTATATAGCAAATTCTTAAACCCTAAGACCTTTGAAACTTGGAAACCTGAACAGTAATTATCTAGAAGTGATGTTGGGCGAAATGAACTGTTTGGGCGTCACCTTTCCATAACCTTTCGTTCCTGTCACCTGGAGAGATGCAACCTTTGAACCCACCAGAAATGCAGCATGTTCAAATATTCTAAACACTGAAACTAAGATCAAACCCACCAACAAACATCAAAACAACTACAGAGCTCTTTGATGAAGGGTTAACAACCTGACTTCCAAAAACCACCATCCCATGATATCCCAGTTATATCACCATTATATAAATCGAAATTGTTGTTGCTAGACTTACGCGTTTCACTCCAACAAAAATCACAACATTACTACTTTCAGAAAACATGCCATATGTGCCATGGTCAAAACATGGATGACCATCCCCCAAGGACTGTCTTCAACTGTGCGGCGTTGTAGGTGACGACATTCGGCTCCACCATTCCCCGGCGCAGCGCCAGGGCCCCTTGCCAGTCGCCCGTCGCGGCACAGGCGCTGACGGCCGCGTTGCACAGCACCACATCGGGCTCAATGCGGGCGGTGATGGCGTTCGAGAGCAGAGTTAAGGCCACCTATATAGCGACTCCAAAAGGGTCACCAAGAAATACATCTGTGCCTATATCTATATTGTATGATATTGTGTAGTAAGAATAACTTTAACTATAAATTTGATTATATCATATCTATATAGCTATAGTCTATAGATCATATGTACCAGGTGGCATGAAACTGCTGTAACCAGTCTAGCTCCAATTGAGAGCATTTCTTGACGAGATCGCTACGAAATTCAATTCAAGTACTGAAAATGAGCCTCATGGCAAAGCCTATTCCAGCTTTATCTTCCCCCTGCCTTTGAGTTCCCAGCTTTTTCACAAGCACTGATGGCCGCACTGTAGGAGAGCACATTCGGCCGGAGGGATTTGGAGATGGTCTGTGCCAGCATCTGTGCCGCTTGCTCCCATTCACCAGCTCGTGCACATGCACTCATTGCGGAGCTGTACGTGATGACGTCCGCTTGCAATTCGTAGCTCTCAACTTGGCCCAGTAGCTGCAAGGACTGCTGCCATCGAGTAGCTTTCTCGAAAGCGCTGATGCCGGCATTGAGGGAGATCAGTGTAGGTTCAAGCTTCTGCATGCCAATTTCCTGCAGCAGAAATATCGCATGCTCCCATGCACCAGCCCTGGCACATGCACTGATGGTGGTGTTGAATGAAATGACATCTGGTGTCACGTCGTGTATCTTGGCCAACTGCAGCAGTTGCAACGCACGTTGCCACTGTGCTGCCTTTTCGCATGCACTGATGGTGGTGTTGTAGCTGATGACATTGGGGCAAACTTCCCACGACGTCATGCTGCTGAACAAAGCCAGTGCTTGCTCCCAGTGCCCTTCACCGCTGCAAGCGCTGATGAGCGATGTGCACGCAATGACATTGGGTTGTGTACGGCCCTCCAGCAGCCACTGCAGCACTTCCACAGCTTCTTGCCATCTGTTTGCCTTTTCACCTGGTTCGCAAGCCAACCCCCCCAAAGAGAATGGTTGCAACGGATCGTAGTCCAGCATGTCTTCAAAAATAGCGTTCGGATTAAAATTGTTTGCCTCACCCGCAAGAGAGTAAGGGGGAAGACGTTATATGCCTCTAAGACATGGTAGCCATGCGACGATATAAAAACTTTTCGCAACAATTGTTGTTACGCACGATGCAAAATATGTACATATATTTAATAGAGCAATATATAGTATAGCAATATATAGCATATCAGTGCATATCATTGAAAAATCCACGAACATATTATTCTGATTTATTCTGTGTTTGTTGCATGCCCGGTGGATTCCCATAGTTTTCGACGGGTACATCTATGGAATTCTTGCGATGTATGTGGCATACCTCAGGCGCAAGCGGGTGGCAAGCATTGATGGCAGCACCATATGCAACGATATCCGCTTGCAACGAGAACCTTTGCAGGTCCTGGTCAATCAAGGATGGAAGTGAACCAATCTGGAGTTGCCTCAAAATAGGGAGCCTCAAATCCTAGGGTCAAACATAACCGGCATTTTCTTTTGGGCACCTCCCTTTTCTGCATCAGTCCACTCAAAGTATGTCAACTCCGTGAACCTGTGAATCTGGACAGCGCTACTATCATACTTTATCAAGTTTAAGCCCGCTCTCTCTCCCTAGACGTATTAATCTTGCGTGTAGCCGTTATCTCCTGGATGAAAAAGCGTCAGGGCTTGTCCCACTGGTGAGTCATGATACTCCAGGGATGATCCCTGAAGTTGGGCTTCATGCTATATTAAACACTTGGGCTTGTGACCTCCCATCGAATATCCATCTAATCATCAATGCTGCCTTCAGGAATTGCCCCAAAGTTCTTCCCCCTTTCTGATTCAGCATGATTCAGCATTCAGCACTCTCCCTGATTCACTCAGCACCGGCCTGAAGGAGTGCCAGGCTTTTGTGCCACTTCACCAGCTTGCTGCAGGAGCTGATAGCAATGCTGCATGAGATCAGCTTGAGATCTGGCCCTGTGCTGCGCTCCATGCAATCTGCGCCCCACACCCTAGCTTTGGAGTTTTGAAGCCCCAAAAGACAACGGGGGGAGCACTTCAATTTCAGCCGCATTCGGAGCCCCAATCTCTTGTTTTTCCTGCAAAACACATCAAAACACCATCAACTACTGATGGATCTCGACATTCTCATGTGGCGGTGTACTCAACTGTTTTGCGCGAAAAAAACTTCAAACATGAATTTTGCAACTGAATATAGTCCACATTGATGGAAGGCTCCGTGCTGTTCTAATGCATTGCACCCTCCCCGCATCCATCCTGATGTCCATGGATTTCATCCCCAATATGATCAACATGCCTTTCATCGTGTTCATTCCAAATTGCTGGCTTCCTTACAGTAAATAAACATAGATACAGAACTTCCATGACATTCCCCTATATATAGATTATTTTCTCAGAGAAATCAGGAGTTTCCCATATCCGCCGACCCCGGCCTTCGCCAAGGCAGGGGCGGCGCCTGGGACCACCGCAGGTGTGGAGCCTGTTTTTGTTGGCTTGCCACTACCTTGCCTTCCGCCAGGCACTCAGGCCACTGCCCTCTGTTAGTTAAGGGCGTTCAAGCCTGCTGAGAGCAGGCACTCAGGCCACTGCCCTCTGTTGTTAAGGGCGTTCAAGCCTGCCGTTTGCCACCTAAAACGCTGCGCGGCAGCTTCGGGCAGGCACTCCCGCCACTGCCCTCTGTTGCTAAGGGCGTTCAAGCCTGCAGTTTGCCAGGCCTCAAATGCCTAAAACGCTGCGCGGCCGCTTCAAGCAGGCACTCCGGCCACTGCCCTCTGTTGTTAAGGGCGTTCAAGCCTGCCGTTTGCCAGGCTTCAAATGCCTCAAACGATGCGCGGCAGCTTCGAGCAGGCACTCAGGCCACTGCCCTCTGTTGCTAAGGGCGTTCAAGCCTGCCGTTTGCCAGGCCTCAAATGCCTAAAACGCTGCGTGGCAGCTTCAAGCAGGCACTCAGGCCACTGCCCTATGTTGTTAAGGACGTTCAAGCCTGCCGTTTGCCAGGCCTCAAATGCCTCAAACGCTGCGCGGCAGCTTCGAGCAGGCACTCAGGCCACTGCCCTCTGTTGTTAATGCCTAAAACGCTGCGCGGCCGCTTGGAGCAGGCACTCAGGCCACTGCCCTCTGTTGTTAAGGGCGTTCAAGCCTGCCGTTTGCCAGACCTCAAATGCCTCAAAGGCTGTACGGCAGCTTCGAGCAGGCACTCAGGCCACTGCCCTCTGTTCTTAAGGGTGTTCAAGCGTGCCGTTTGCCAGGCCTCAAATGCCTAAAACGCTGCCCAGCAGCTTCGAGCAGGCACTCAGGCCACTGCCCTCTGTTGTTAAGGGCGTTCAAGCCTGCCGTTTGCCAGGCCTCAAATGCCTCAAACGCTGCGCAGCAGCTTCGAGCAGGCTCTCAGGCCACTGCCCTCTGTTGTTAAGGACGTTCAAGCCTGCCGTTTGCCAGGCCTCAAATGCTTCAAACGATGCGCGGCAGCTTCGAGCAGGCACTCAGGCCACTGCCCTCTGTTGTTAAGGACGTTCAAGCCTGCCGTTTGCCAGGCCTCAAATGCCTCAAACGCTGCGCGGCAGCTTCGAGCAGGCACTCAGGCCACTGCCCTCTGTTGTTAAGGGCGTTCAAGCGTGCCGTTTGCCAGGCCTCAGATGCCTAAAACGCTGCGCGGCAGCTTCGAGCAGGCGCTCCGGCCACTGCCCCTCTGTTGTTAAGGGCGTTCAAGCCTGCCGTTTGCCAGGCCTCAAATGCTTCAAACGCTGTGCGGCAGCTTCGAGCAGGCACTCAGGCCACTGCTCTCTGTTATTAAGGGCGTTCAAGCCTGCCGTTTGCCAGGCCTCCAATGCCTACAACGCTGCGCGGCAGCTTCGAGCAGGCATTCCGGCCACTGCCCTCTGTTGTTAAGGGCGTTCAAGCCTGCCGTTTGCCAGGCCTCAGATGCCTCAAACGCTGCGCGGCAGCTTCGAGCAGGCATTCCGGCCACTGCCCTCTGTTGTTAAGGACGTTCAAGCCTGCCGTTTGCCAGGCCTCAAATGCCTCAAATGCTGCGCGGCAGCTTCGAGCAGGCACTCAGGCCACTGCCCTCTGTTGTTAAGCGCGTTCAAGCCTGCGACATGGCTCAACGCCCGGCTGTGGCCCCAAATTCTGCGGAGCTTTGTGCTACTGCTACATGATTCCATCGATTGGTTTAGGTGTGAAAATCTCAGCCGGAAACCATATAAGCATATTATAAGTATATATATATATATATATGTATGTATATCCGCACCCTTGAAAGGGGGTCGGCGGCACCAGGGCGTTAGCCCATTCTATATATGTTACAATTTGCTAGAGGGTACATTCCCTGGTCGGAATGCATCCCCAGTGCTGACAACCAGCCGTTCCTCCAGCTGTTTCCTCCATCGCCCTTTTTTGGACACCAGCAGGCTCTCCAGTTTGAGGCGGCGAGAGATCAGCCTCGAAAGTCGATTGAAGGTTTAAAGGGGATATATCCGAATTATATATATATATGTGTGTGTGTGAGTGTGTGTGGTGTATAAATATATATATATATACAATTATACATGTATAAATGCAGTATTTCAGTCAGCTGATCTGAGACCATTTGGGATGATGCCCCCTACTCCAATAAAACGACGCAGTGAGGTCGTTGTAGTTTACCCCATGAACGGAATATGAATGGTGAATGGATGTAGCAAGAAAAATATGGCATGGAAAATTAACCATCGCATGGGCATATTATTTATCCTACCGTTTCTCTTGCCCCAGCATCATCTTGCACAATGCGGCCATCCCGTTTATTAGAAAATCAACATGGGTCTATAGGGGGACCCCAAAAGGGTTCATTTTTAAGAGACCATGACGAATTTCAGATATTGTGCACAATATTTCGTCTTGAATGTGCTGGAATATGATATTCCATAGTATTCTTCCGTTTATGGCTAAACATGAGCCAATTCACCTGCATGACTAAGCAACGGAATTTGTGCTGCCCTATGTGTGGACCTTATTTCTTGTAAACTTCCATGCCAGATTTATCCAGATTTCAGCCCCCACCCTGCCAAGGGCCAACTCCACATCTGTGGCGGCCCGAAAATCTGGAGACGCGGCCACCTGACAAGACTGGGCCAGGTGGGGGTCCTCTGATTCTGTAAAGGTCGAAAACCTGGTAGCCCATAGGTCATGACACAAATAAATCAATATAGATTGCATGGGGATGTTCATGGGTAGCCATGATTATCAGAATGTTCAGGGGTGTACATTGGAGAATGCTTTCCAATGTCTTACATGCTGACACGGCGATTTGTTTTGAAAACAATCTTTTCTCGTTGGTGGTCTCAACATGTCTCAATCCATCACTGCAAAATGTACGGTGAATGTGTTTGAATCGTCGCAAACAAGATTGACAATTTGAGAAATATTGGGAAACACCAAGCACTTCTTCAAGACGCTCGCATATTTGAAGTGCCGAAAAAAACTGGCTGTACATGGCCATTGTGATATAGATAGATAGATAGATAGATAGATAGATGATAGATAGATAGATAGATAGATAGATAGATAGATAGATAGATAGATAGATAGATAGATAGATAGATAGATGATAGATAGATAGATAGATAGATAGATAGATAGATAGATAGATAGATAGATAGATAGGATTAGATAGATAGAATAGATAGATAGATAGATAGATAGATAGATAGATAGATAGATAGATAGATAGATATAGATAGATAGATATAGATAGATATAGATAGATATAGATAGATATAGATAGATATAGATAGATATAGATATATATAGATAGAGATAGATAGATATAGATAGATATAGATAGATATAGATAGATATAGATAGATATAGATAGACATAGATAGATATAGATAGATATAGATAGATATAGATAGATATAGATAGATATAGATAGATATAGATAGATATAGATAGATATAGATAGACATTGATAGATATAGATAGATATAGATAGATATAGATAGATATAGATAGATATAGATAGACATTGATAGACATTGATAGATATAGATAGATATTGATAGATATAGATAGATATAGATAGATATAGATAGATATAGATAGATATAGATAGATATAGATAGATATAGATAGATATAGATAGATATAGATAGACATTGATAGATATAGATAGATATAGATAAATATAGATAGATATAGATAGATATAGATAGATAGATAGATTGGATAGATTGGATAGATTAGATAGATAAGATAGCTTATATAGATTAGATAGATTAGATAGCTTATATAGCTTAGATAGATTAGATATATTAGAAAGGTTTTATATATATATATATCAAATAGATTAGATAGAATAGACTAGACAAGAACAGAATAGAATAGAATAGATAGATAAGCTAGTCAAATCAGTTATTTAGTTAAGTTAGTTAGATAGATTCGTTAGTTAGATAGATAAGTTACTTAGTTAGGTTAGTTAGATAGTTAGATAGTTAGTTAGTTACTTAGTTAGATAGATAGATAGATAGATAGAGAGGCAATATAGATGCTATTGTGATCATGTACATACATAGCTATTTCCATAAATTTACACATATATATATAGATATGCATATACATGTATACACAAATGGCTATATATATACACCAACAAACACACACATTACACATACACACATATCCATACGCACACATATATATAATTATTTACATATAGAATCATGCATATCATATATACATACATACATATATTATATATATATATTATAATGTTGCAGTTCCATTTTGAAAACTACCAAGATACCCAAAGTCATTGGTGTTTCCATCGGCCTCCGTCAGACTGGTGGTCTTCAGCTGCCACACCTGACATGATCCCCCTTAATGGGTAAATATTCAACACTCATACATTTTTTGTAATATATATACCGTTAAAATGAAAGTTAGAATGCCTCCGCGAATTCCAAATATTCCACCCCCTCAGTTAGAATGCGGCCCGC